ACTTGAACATTAGGAGTTTGTCACCTAAAATTGACTTATTGAGAGCCTGGCTCACCTATAATAAACCTCATGTAATTACTCTTTCTGAAACCTGGTTAAACAGCAATATTTCTGATGATGAAGTCACAATTGATAACTATGTCCTGTATAGAAAAGACAGGGGCTCAAGAGGAGGGGGTCTTTTGACATATGTATCCTCAAATTTGACTGCAGAACTTATTTTACCAACTGAGAATCCCTCGCGTTTTGAATGCCTTTTTGTTAAAATTATTTTACATGAGAACAAACGACTTATCATAGGAAATATCTATAAACCTCCCAATGCTCCTGCTGAAACAACTGAATGTATCCTATCAACCATTAATTCTTTAGACTGCACTAGTGAAAAAATCATATTAGGTGATTTCAACTCCAATTGGGCAGATCGCTCATCCCGTAATGATCGCAATCTCTTCAACAGCATAAATTTAACCCAACTTATAAGTGAACCTACCAGAGTTGGTCCCAGTTCGTCTTCTCTACTTGATTGGATCCTAGTTTCCCATCCCGACAGAATCATACAATCTGGGGTATTACCTGACTCTTTCAGTGACCATTCTATTGTTTTTTGTGTTTGGAAAATCAAAGTGCCTCATCTTCCTCCTAAATTCATCCAAGTAAGGAAAACTAATAATATTAACTCTGAACTTTATATTCAAGATATCTTAAACATCAACTGGGAAAGATTTCAACTAATACCATTCGTTGAAGATGCCTGGAATTACTTTTATACTGAGCTTGTTGAGATAATTAATAAACATGCTCCCTGGACAACAATTAAAGTCAAGGGTCGACATTTACCTTGGATAAAAGGAGATCTTATACACTTATTCAAACAAAGAGACAAGGCTTGGAAAAAATACCGTGTAACAAATATTCTTCTGACTGGAATGCTTATAAAGAGCTGAGGAATAAATGTAAAACCAATACTAGAAATGCTAAGGCAAATTATTACAAAGACTGTCTGTCAACTGATTTTAAGAACCCAAAGCAATTTTGGAAGAGAATCAATAGTATAACCAATAAACCCACAAAAAATCCTACTACTCGTATCAGAATAAACAATGAAACTGTCAGTGAACCATCATTAATTGCAGAGGCATTTAGCCAACACTTCTCTACAATTGGTAGCTCCCTGTCTGGTTATTCTCACTCTGACTTTACCCCGACTCAGAACAGATGTGGCAGTTCCTTTTCCTTCAGAACTATCACACCAACTGATGTCCAACAGGTCACTGATGGTCTAAGCTCTGGATGCAGTGCTGGTCCAGATGGTCTGGAGATTAAGTTCTTTAAACTTGCCTCTCATATTTTATCATTTCCTCTGGCTGATTTATTTAATTCATCTCTTGCAACTGGTAAAACTCCCTCTTCCTGGAAATGTGCCAGAGTAACCCCTCCATAAAGGGGGTGACCCCACGGACATCAATAATTATAGACCTATCTCAATTATTAATAGCATTGCAAAAATATTTGAAAAACTCATCTTTAATCAATTATCTAAATATCTTAATGATCACAACTTATTATCAACACACCAATCTGGTTTTAGACCAAACCACTCGACCCCACTGCTCTCCTAAAATTCACCAATGACATACAGTCAGCATCTGACAGCAATATGTCTACAGGTGCTATATTTATTGACCTTGCTAAGCATTTGACATGGTTGATCACTATCTTCTTTTAGATAAACTACATGCTATTGGTTTCTCTACTGACTCTTTGTTGTTTTCAACTCTTTTCTTCATTATAGAAGTCAATGTGGTTTTTTTCAGGGCAGCCAGTCAGACTTCAAGATTATTGATAAAGGTGTGCCACAAGGTTCATCTTTAGGTCCTCTATTATTCTCCATCTTCATCAATGACCTCTCACCAGTCTGTTCTGACTGTCAAATTCATTTATATGCAGATGACACTGTAATATACTCCTCCAGTTCGGACATTTCACAAATTCAATACTCAATACAATCTGATTTTAATCTAGTCCAAAAATGGTTCTCTGTCAATAAACTTCTTCTGAATAAGAAAAAATCATATTTTATGTTGTTCTGCACTCGACCAGATTCTTTGCCCTTAACAAAAAACTGGCATATTAATTTCCTGGATGGAACAGCATTAGAAAAAGTAGATGAATTTAAATATTTGGGCCTTTGGCTAGATTCCCAGTTATCTTTCAAACCTTATATCAACTCAATTTCTAAGAAAATATATGGTCGTCTAAAATCACTTTATCGTTCTGTTGAATGTTTTTCACTGCAAGTCCGGAGAAGAATCGTGACACAATTGGTGCTGCCAATCCTTGATTATGCTGATGTTATCTATGGAAACACCTCAGAGACAAATCTTCGACCTCTCACTATCTTATTCAACAGTCTCTGTAGATTTGTTCTGAGGTGTCCATATAGGACCCATCACTGCCTAATGTATGAGTCCTTGAATTGGCTGGCTCCCAAGTCCAGAAGGACATTTCATTCATTACTTTTAAATGTATCTATTTTAATTTTCCTCCGTACTTGAAACAATTTCTAATCCCTTTCAGTTCACAGTATAGCCTAAGGCATACTGATCATCTATTTTTCCTCACACCAAGAATCAGGAAAGAAATTGGTCGCCGTGCATTTAAATTTAACGCTCCATCAGACTGGAATAACCTACCTCGCTCACTTAGATCTATCACCTCTTTTCATATCTTTAAATCATCTCTACATACTCATTGTCAAACATCCTGCTCTTGCTTTTGATTTTCTTTCTCTGTTGGACTTAGTTTGTCTGGACCTGCTCTCCTCTTGCTTGCGCTCGTGTATCTACATGTATGTACTGTTCTGTACCTTGTGCCTTAATGTTGTGTACACTATGTGTGTAAGTCCTGTATAGTGTGTATGCATATATATATACAGAGGTTTTCCTTTCTTTTTTCTTTTTTTATTATTATTATTATTATATATATGTATTTTTTCTCTTCAGATTTTTTTCTGATTGTGTAATACTGGCTGGTTGGTGGGTGGCTAGGCTTGGGGGAGCATTAAGTGTGAGTGATTGTGAGTGTGTGTGTGTTTGTGGTGTGGGTGTCTCTGTGTTTAAATGTTTGGTATTATGTTTTGGATTTACCTTTTATTTTTTATTTTGTATTATGATGATTCATTCATGTTTTGTAAGGACCCCCTTGAAAATGAGATGCTGCATCTTAAGGGGCTATCCTTGAAATAAATTACAAATTACAAATTTACACATTAATGCTGTCTCTCACCTCCAGGGCCTTGAGGAAGATGCTGCGCCACCGCGTCTTCATCATGCCAATCGCCCTTTCCACCACACACCGTGCTTTGGCATGATGCCGGTTGTATCGTACATGAACAGGGTTTTGCACCGGCTCCCTGAATGGGGTCATCAAGCTGATTGGTGCAGCCAGGCAGGGATACCCCCATCCCCAACAATACACCAGCCATGAGGGGGGTAGAGTTGGTGTACGTACAGAGAACTCCACTGCAGGACCCTGCATCGTGGACAGAGCCTGGAAGTCCTGTGAACAAAGGGTGATGTATTGTGAATATGTCATTGTACTTGACATGGTACAGGACACATTATGTTGAAAATGCCCGTCTCAAACACTTCAGAAATGTGACATCACAAATTCAATTGTGATTATACAACATCTTTTAAAGTAATTACAATGTTTACAATCATGAGATAAGTAGAAATTCACACATGAACATAATGACGTTGCAGTTGTTGGGTGACAAATACAAATCACAGTAAGTGTGAGTCCTGGTCCACATTCACTTTCATTGTATGTGAGATGACTGCAACACCCTTTTCCTGAGAAACTCAAAAAGTTAACCCAACCTTCCAGAGGTATTAATGTCAGTAACTGATGACTGAATTATTTATTAGATCAACAATCCCTTAAGCAGTGTAAGCTGTACTAATACATTTCTGACTTTCATTTCTACCTGTATATGTATTAAGGAAGCGGCCTTTGTGATCACACACCACCAGCAGCTGAATGGAAGAGCTTCCTGTTGAACAACACAAAATGGAATTGATAACCACTCACATTGATATGGGATTAAAAACAGGTTTATATGAAGTGGTATTTTGTACGCAGGTTACCTGTTAAGGTAGTCTTCTTTGTTTGCTGCAGGTGGCTTGATTCTAATGTGTGTCCCATCAATGCTGCCAGCCGCTCTGCAGAAGGCATGAGAGCCAGCCAGGTGGGCAAAGCCTTCCCCTATTCCCTCTAGCTCATCAGCAGCAGGGAGATGAACCACCCTCTTCATGATGCTGATGATACTTCCAGCGACTCGATGAACAACATCATGAACCGTGGTGATGGGGACATCAAAGGCTCCTGACACCACCCGATACGAGGTGGCACTGGCCAGCCAGTATAAATATATCCCCACTTCGAGGTCTTTGCTCCAGCCATGGTCCTTGGTGTATCCCAGACACTCCACCAAGGCCTTCACTGTCTGCCTTGACAGACTGAAGTCTTTCTTTAGTTCTCCATCTCCCAGGTAGAGGCGGACAGTAGCGCTGTGGCCGTTCAATTAGAGGTATTGTCCTCACAGTCCACGCTGAGTAGGGACAGGATGTTTCAGGTGTCTGAACTTGTGTTTCCAAAGTGAAAAGTGTTTTATCATTCATGAAGTGTTTTTTGGTTACTGATATAATACTGTTGTCAGTTTGCTGTGAAATTCACTGTTTGAATTTAATTCAATGTTGGATTCAGAATGAATCTTGGTAAATGTGCTACTATTCAGGTTAATGTCATGCATTTTAAAAGTTAATTGTTTGATTTGAAGCCCTGCTCTGTTGGTACTTACAGGAGGAGTGGGCCAAACTCTGCTATTTGAAGGTGAGCCTGACCATCTCGTTCCAGCTGCATCAGAGGTGCTTATTGAGAGCAACCTCTTCCGGGTTGCAGGAAGGATGATAGCCCACTCCTTTTTGCATATGGCCCCCATGTCACCGGATTAAGTCCTGCTGTTATTCATGTACTGTTCAATGGGGACCCTGAAATGGCAACAATTGTTGTCGAGGACTGTCCTGATCTGCACATCAGGAGTATTATAACAATGGTATGTAACACACAAACAAAAAAACCTTTGCCTTGCAAAATTCCTGGACAGGTGTAATACCTTTTATGATCCAAACTGTAGCTTGAACTTGAAGAACTTACTCAGGAACAGAAGGACACAGTGTCAGATCTTTCCCTGTCTTGGGATCTCCCAGCAGTCACTAAAACGAATCAGAGGTGGCTACATAACAAACTTCTAGTACACGCGGTGAGTTTCTCCTGCTGATTTGGTGAATTCTCCTTCTGAAATTGAACTCATCCCCCATTTATCCATCAATTATGTTTCAAGCTAAGCAATTCTATCACGTCTGCATTTCTTTTGCACATCTGTATTTCAATCACAAACTAATTGGAACTGCAGGCAGGATTATTACAGAACCTAAACACTCTTTAACTTGTAATCTAGGCAGGGAGTGGTTTGGTGTTGCAATATGAAAGGATATAATTGGGAAAAATACATCTTAACCCTGTAAAGCCTGACACATGAAAAAATAACCAGGAAATTCTATTCTTTTGGAATTGAGATGTTTATTAAACCCTTAAACAAAATCCCCCAAAATGTTTTTCTCATATCATGTTGTTTATGATATTTTGTTTGTAGCACATTTGATACATCGGGCGTTTTTGGCAATTTTTTGCACACATTTCAGGAAGCTTTTCTCGTTGTTTTTTTTAACATAACACTTTTTACAGCCTTTTTATTTCATTTTGTGGTAGGCACAAAAACAGTTTCTGTCCTTGTTCAGGCAAAGATGCACCTTACACTTTTCACAGTAGACATGTGAGAAGTGATTGCATCTCTGTCGGGTTTCCCATGTTGGAAAATGATCAATGCCATCCCTTCTCACATCAAGAGGCACACTGCAGCTTGGTCTTTTACGGGGTGGTGTTGGAGTCTCTTCTGGAGAGGATAGTGGTCTGCCACACCTGATTTTGGCCTTTCCTGCCAACCAAAGCCTGAAACCTTCACAGAGGCACGGGTTTCTTTTTGGGGTTTAGCTTCTTCTGGTCTCTTCTGTAGAGGTTCCACGCATTGATGACTGCCACTGTAACAGTGTGCCACCAGATGTACATGTACCATCTTCGGGATCTGAAGCTGAACTTGTAAAGTGCAGACAGCATATCAAGGAGATCAACACCTCCCATGAACTTGTTATATGTTTCAACAATGGCTGGTCTGGGAACCATTATGTGAGTTTTGGATTTGCGATCCCAGCGTTTCACATTTCCCACAGGTTCAGTGCCAACAAAAGAGGAAATCAGGTTCACTGCTTTGTTGTCGTACCATCTTACAACGATGTTGTTTTCCTGGTTCACTCTGAAGTCCATTGACCCTCTTCCATTTGTCTTCAATTCTTTTTCATCCATCATGGTGCAGTGTTCATCCTGTTCATCCGGATCGTGCCAACGTAGTGGATTCCTCTTTCTTTTAGGTGTTGCACCAGGGGAACTGATGTGAAGTAGTTGTCTGCAAAGACCTTGTGATTTTTTCCTGCTGGAAGTGTTGATGTCATTTTCAGCACAACTTCTCCTGTAACACCTACTTCAGACTTTTCTCTGTCTGGATTTTCTGCACCTTGACAAATATCAAAGTCATAAAGAAAGCCACTTTGTCCAGCACGTCCCCACATTTTGAAACCCCATTTGTGAGGTTTTGCAGGCATGTAGACACGTAGATGAGATTTTCCCTTAAATGGCACCATGATTTCATCAACTGCATGGCTTTCTTCAGGAGGTATGTAGAGAAACTGTTCTCGCAGTTTTTGTAACCATGGCCTGAGCTTCCACAGTTTATCTTTCTTTGCATCATCAGACACACTGAGGTTGTCCTGAAAGTGAATCACTGTCAGCAATTTCAGAAACCGATCTCGAGACATCACATGACAAACTGCAGGGAGCCTTGTCTCCATCTCCCAATAGGCTCTCACAGAGGACATCTGTACTAACCCCATATGAATGTACATGCCTAGAACCTGCTCTATTTCCTTGGCAGTTGTGTTTACTGACTTGCCCTCTTTTTGGACACTGTACAGGTTTGTTTGTTCTGCAGTTTCCTCTAGCATTTCATCAGTGACAAACTGTTTGAAATACATGTATGGTGTCCAGTCACACCTGTCTTCTGTGCCTTCCTCAACACTTGCAATGAAATTGATAGATGGAGCTTGATAATTTATTTTTCTCCATCTGTATTCTTTCCTTTGTGCATTGGCCTTCACTGACTCCTTTCTGATTGTGTCCTGTGTTGTTGTTGGGATCTCAACGTCTGTGCTTGTCTGGGCTACACTTTCCTCTTGATAGTCTTCCTCATCACTGCTATCTGAACTTCCATCATCATGCATGGCCTGAGGAGTCCATTCTTCCTCATCCTCCTCATCATCTTCCCCTAACTGCTCTATGTCACTTGAATTGCCATCCATTATCATGTTGATGACATTTTCAATGTACGTTTGTTTTCTCACTTCTTCCTCTATTCTTTTTGACATCTAAAAATACACACATAACAAATTGGTCAATATAGCGTAGCGATTATGATTTCAGAGGAATTGTTATTGTGAAAATACCCAAAATGTATTTTAAAATGGCATTTCAGTCATTAATTAGATTTATTAAATCATTAAAATAGTGTGTGTTTGTATATTGGTAGGCATGATGTAGATTACATTACAAAAATTTAGAATGACCGTTCAAGGATAAAGCACCTTATATACCTGCAGTATCAAATGTGATACACACATTTTTAACACGATTTAACTGTAATATGAAGAATGAATTATTAAGTAATGATGCATTGTTTTAATACAGAATATACTCCTATTAAAGAATGAGTAACAATATAAATGTTATTCTTACTGTAACTTCTTGAAAATTAGCAAAGATTTTCCTGCTGAAAGTGTGTGGATGCTAGCATGATGGTGGCCATTTTTTTAAAAGGTCAAAAAAAGCCCTTCCACTGCCTGCAGTAGAGTGCAAATCCTCTAGGGGCAGAATACATGTATCAGGTCATATACAACAGGTTTTAAAGGAAAGTTTTGATCATGTTGATAAGACAGAGGTCTCAGAAACTTGCGTAGCAAATATGATACAAATGGTTTTATAGGGTTGTTAAGCACTGCATTAGAGTTTTATAAACACTTTCTACTGTGCTGACTTTTGTAGAATTTTAATATTTGGTCAGTAATATGGGTTTGGCCTTTCTTGTAGGTCATCGGGAGGACCATGCGCCAAATTAAACAGTTGAGAAAGGGATTGAAAGATGTGATGCTATGGCCCCTGCTGACATCAAGGCCAGATGTTGTCCCACTTCTTTTTCTGAAAATGGCAGGAATGCAGTTTGTACCCCAGGTGATTTAGTACATCCAACTTATTAACAATACTTAAAATATTAATAAATGTGTGTGCAAATCTTATTGTCTAATTTACTGAGCTGGATATTTTCTCAATTACCAAGACTGTAATCTATATTCCTTTTCATCAGTGCTGAATTATAAATTATCCTAGACACCAAAATACTTTTCAAACTTTTTTTTTCCAGATGTTCCTAGACAAAATCACATGGCCTGTGGAGGACAGTGATGATGAAGAACTTGACATTGAGTGCAAGTGCCGCATCACTGGTTTTCTACGGATGTTCATTGAAACAGGTATAGCTATCTTATTTTGCAATTTATTTTCATGTTTACCAATGTCTCTATGTCCCATAAACATCTCACTTAACACTGTAGAATATATGAAATGCATAGGGATTTGAACAGTTACAGTGCACTGTGTTCTTAATCCACTTTATGACCTTTTAGCTTCATCAGATACTCTGGCTCAGTTGCTGAAGTTCTGGGTCGGCTGGGAAATGCTCCCTCCAGAACTCAAAGTGGAGTTTTCCGGGGGAACCTTCCCATCATCCTCCACATGCTTTGAAACACTGAAGCTGCCAGCTCATTACAACACCTACAAAGACTTTGAGGAAGCACTTGTTGCTGCCATAGACAGTGCACACACTGGATTTGCTCTTGTTTAAGTATTTTCAGGCAATGATGTTGCTGTGCTTTTATTCAGTAGAAAAAGGTCAATTTGAGTGAAGTGAGTTCAGTGTTTTTCTAACATTTCAAATACAGTGCAGTATTTTCTTTCCCTGAAAATGACACTGCTTTGTTGTTGCTCTTCTGTCAACTGTTTGATACTTCAGTGTGCATCACCTTGCTGTCCTTGCCTGTTGTCATTGGCTACATGAGGTTGTTGAAATATCTCTTGATGCTAGAAAAATTGGTTTTATTTGCATTAAAACAGCATATTATTATTTCAGATTTTTATTGACAAATCAAGTTAACTAATTCATGAGTGACATTTGCACAATAAATAAAATAAAAGGCCTGCTTAAGATATCAGTCTCCAATGATTCTTGACAAAACTTGCACTGTCTCCAAATATGATCCAATTGCATCATTTAAAGAAACTCCTGAAACTGGCAAAATGGCAACCTCTTCATCTGAGAGCTCACGGGCCATCTGAATCTCAGGAACTGACACAGTGTCTCCATGCTGATTGTGAGGCCCATTCCAGTCGATCCCATAGTCTTCATAAACCTGAACAGAGGATAACCTTGATTGACATATTGTTTAAACTACTATGACATGTCATCACACAAGATTCATGAGATTGATCATTGGTCCTTATGTTGGTGACAAATTAAGTTTTAGGCACTTTGCTGCTCAGATGTTGTTCTGTCAGAGCTCAGGAGACAGAAGAGATTCTCATGTTTCATTCAAAAACAAGAACAAAGTGATAACAGAAACCCTTTTATTAAAATATAGTGGGTCCAATTATCATCTGTCTGAAATGTTTCTTCTAAGAAATTTGAGGAAAAATAAATCTGCTAAACATCAGTGACAAACACCTGTATCTCCTGACCAACAAAATATGAATATATTTTCAAAAGGTTTCAATAATAGTGTAAAACTACTATCTTTTTTTTAACCTCTGCAGGATCCTCCATGGGGCCTTGCTCTCTGTATCTTCTCCAGAGTTCATTAGGTGATTGATTCCTTTCAGTTCTAAGTCCATGAAAGTTCCAAGCATCTCTGAAGGAGCTGAGGGTTCTCTGAATTTGGGGAAGGAAGATCCGGTGCAGGGCATAAAGATGGACTTGGTTGTCTGGATTGAGTGTTCCCTGATCTTCCAATGAAGTGAAGATCTGATAGAAGAGGTCTAGGGCATGCTCATAAACATCTCTCCACATCCTCTCTATTCTGCAATTAGAATGCAATTGACAAATTGTTAATTAATATATAATCTCAAGCTTTAAAATACATTGAGCTGCTATGGTTTGTACAAGCAGTGGTGGACAGTAACGGAGTACATTTACTTGAGTATTTGTTTTTTTGGAAACTTGTGACTTTCACTCCACTACAAGATAAATATTGTGCTTTCGACTCCACTACATTTCTAGGAAGCTCGTCGTTACTGGTTCCTTTTAGGCTCAGCATAGCTTTGTAGTCAGCTGTTGGTGTTTTTCTTTTCTAAAATGCAATTGGCCTCACGCTGTGCTCCTCATAGAAGGGAACCAATCACAGTCACCGCTCACACATGGGATGGATTTGGAAATACGTCATCAACGCTCAGTGTAGCAAGCTCTCCCGCCTTCATTCAAACAAAACTCGGCAATGGAGATGGCAGGAGAAGCTGAGGAAAGAGACTAAATGTGCACCATCTTTTAGGGATTTCCATCACTTTCCACAGACATGGAAAAATGCAGGTTTACAGATTTTATTAAGGCAAGGGTTATGTTGCCATGTAGCCAAGTGGTTCAACTGGATGATGAGTTCATGAAAGCAGAGTTGCAGTTTGTTCGCAGTAATGGACTGAACAGTAAACTTGCAACTCCCCCACAGTGAATGTACGGGGAGAAAAAAAAGGCCCTCCTGTTTTTTTTGGGTGGGGATGTTTAAATAAAAAAATTAAATGACAATAGCTGTCCTTATTGTTTTTGATTGCATTTTTACGCTGAAGTTTTTACAGGTGTTTCTATAGACTTGTAAGTCAATACATCATTAGGTGGTTTCAGAGAGTTACAAGGTTCTGTGTAAGCACTGAGAAAACAATACAGCAATGCACTGATATTAGAAAATGTACTTTGTACTTTTGAATACTCAAGTATTTTTAAAAGTAAGTACTTTAGTACTTTAACTTGACTAAAATCTTGACCGAGCAACTTTTACTTGTAGTTGAGTAAGATTTGACCACGAGTATCAATACTTTGACTCAAGTACTGGAGTTGAGTACTTTGTCCACCACTGTGTACAAGTAGTCACCAAACAGATATATTTGACCTACCGCTGATTGTGTACACTTCTGCCTGTGATGTGAGAGTTCCTGTTGGTACCTCTGCTCCTGATCATGAATTCTGCTACGTCTGAATTCTCTCTTCCTTTATCAGACCGTACCCTTGACGGCAGCCCGTACTGCTGAACGGCATTGATAAAGCTCTGTAGGACAGTGCTAGCCCTGTTATTGCCAGCCACATTCAGGTAGACCACCAGTCGACTGAATCCGTCCACCCCACCATGGACAACAAATCTCCACCTGTCAGACAGTTTTGAACACAAAAAAGCTTTAATGTGATCATTTCTTTGGACATCTATAGAAAGTTGCATTGTTTATCAACTAATATCACTGATACCTTATAAGCTTGTGGTGACCATCTATGTGCCATAAAGAGTTTGGGCCAGGAACAGAATACTGCCGTCGTCTTGTTACATGCAGCCGTAGACGTCTCATGTACACTCCCTCAGCATCCACTCTGTGCAAAGACTCTCAGTCTTGAGACTTTAGAGCAGAAAATAATCATACACTCATTTGCTATTTATTTAAAAAAACACTTAAAAATCTAACTGAGAAATACTGGAAAAAAAATACCAGAGTTTCAAATATTTAGAAGTATTTTGATAGTGTTAGGGTGTTAATAAATAAATAATAATAAATGGCAACACCATGGATCATCAGCAACATTTAGCTCCTGGATAAAAAAAATAAAAATTCAGGTCATCAAAATGTTCACGCCTTGGATACCACATGTTTTAAAACGACACAACCTCGATTAACTTCATGTTTGATATCGAATGTTTGAATTTGTAAATCCAGTACAAAACCACCACAGTCTCAAAAATGACCAGAGTTCACCTTATCTATCATCAACATGATATATAAAACTTCATAATAACAGGATACAAATCTGGATTTACCCTGGAAATGAGTTTCAGATATATCAGCCGCTACGTTGCAAAAGAATACACACATACATGAGCCTTACCTTAACAATATATATTCTCATTGACCTTGCGCCTAGTTCATGGTTATTTATATTTATTCATATTGGGCTCGGATCATACTCACTTGGAACACGCACACCTCTAGCATTCAAATGTCCACGCATTAGCTTGTAGCCGGTGTTTGGACACTTCTGTGGACTTCGCTTACAATACGGTCCAACTCCTCATCAGCAACAGGTGTAGAGATCTGTCTTTCTGAGCAGACCAACAAACTACATGTTACATTTCACTTAACACCTTTTAAAATGAAGGACATCGCCAGTACACTACTAATAATCTTAATAAAATCTGTGAATTTAACTGTGAATACCTTAGGCCACGATGTTTCATGTGTCTTCTGATTGTCCTCTTTGAAACTCCAAACCTCTCAGTAATTTCACTCGCTGGTCGCCCACGATGGTGGTCGGACACGATGCTGTAGAACGGCAGTGGGGATGTCAAAAGCCGGGCGCCCTGCTCCGGGTGTGTGCTGCGGCCCCGTACCGGAGAAGCGCTGGAGAACTTCTTCTAAGTTTGTGAACACTCTTCGGTCAATATCTTGGTCAGAGAGAGCGGAAATAACTCCAAGAACTTCAAAAATTGAGATCCGTCTCCGTTACATTCACTGCGACTTGATGACGATCAAATACCGCTGAATTAACTTAGACCCGATGTCACAGGTAAATGTTTTTGTCCCATGTAAAATAAGGACAATCGAAATGAAGCACTTGTCAGCTTATTTCACTACACCGTAGCGACGTTTACCTCCAGATGGGCCGTTGTTTACTTCCGCATTCCAGGAGCGGAAACTGGAAACCAGTTTAACCGGAGCCAAGCATACCGCAAAATAACCGACAACTGGCAGTCATACTACATACTACTGTTGAACGTAGTCTGCAGTATATACTGCATACTGATTTAGAAAGTATGTAGTACGCGGTCTTGAAAACGGCCGTGATGTTCATCAGGTCGCTGACCTTCAATCATTAACCCCGTGTTCTCCAGAGCTCGTTGGATGTCTGAATCTAACTCCTAACTCCTCCATGATTATTCATCATATGCGGATTATCATTTTGTATTACATTAGCGATACTCTTTCAACATTTATATCAAAATTGTGATATATGTGTGACATAATAAAAAATGAAAACAGCTACATGATTGTAATGCTAAAACACACAGTCAAGTTTTCATTATTATTTATATAACTATAATATCATTTACTCTTACTGGTTGTCTCAGGTGAGTCAGGTGAGGGGGGGAGATTTATCACTACAGCTTATCAGGTCCAAGTTTCATAAAATAACTTTGAGATCATTAGTGACTCACCAACACTGATATCTTCTGGACAGATTCCATAATTTACAAACCTGCCGTTTCCCATCGCGCTCATGGCGCCTAATTCAAATTCCAGTCAACATCAGGGAAGCCTGTGGGCGACAACTGCACCGAAAATAGGTGACGGAGGGAAACCGGCGTCCAGAGAAAAGCTGTTACCAAAAAGAGCTCGTGGACAGATATGTTATGTCCATCCATCCATTATCTTTACCGCTTTTCCCGTCCAAAGGTTGCAGGCAGGCTGGAGCGGCTACCAGCTGTCATTGGGCGAGAGGCGGGGTTACACCGTAGAGTTTAAAACGGGTAAAACTGGTTCAGATAGAAGTGATTGTACCCGACCTAAAAAGCCTCTGCATGTTTCTAATAAGCTCCACGAGCAGAAACGTGCTCAAACTAGGATCAATATTGGAGATGCTTTTGAAAAATGGAGAGAGGTTAGAACACAGAAAGGTTTACAGACCCATGCAGAGCTGGATAAACACTGAAGCTTCAGAGTCCACCACATGGTGACCTGAGTGAGCATCATCTCTAGAGAGGAGGGGGGGAGACAGGTCTCTGAAAAAGACTGAAGGTCAAAACAAATGTAACAATATATAACCTCTAGAGGGAGCACCACATAATCAGAAATAGAGACCATCTGTCTGCATGTTGCAGACGCATCATAGTGTCGATGGTTGTGGACTTGATGTATAAACTCTTCTTTTAAACGTTCCTCCGTTGTTGTAGCAGCTCTTTG